AGGCTGACATTTAGAAAGTGGTTCATTATTGTTTCCTTTTGGTGTTTCTGTGGCTTATCTAACATAAAATCAGTGCCATTTTTTTCTCCCAAACAAAGATGGAATGATATTCCATGAAAGTATTTTTGTAAAAGTAGAGTTTCTAAAATGTGCTGGACGCTCCAACTCTGGTGTCTGAAATGTCATGTTCACGCTGATGGAAACAGCAGGTTTAGGAAACTTCATTCCCTCCTACAGCACTGCTGAGGCATTTTCCTCATGACAGGGAGAACCAATCTCTCAGACCAGGAGAGTTGGTCCGGTAAGATACAGCTGTTTCTTTCCTTGGTCTCATAAGCTCCTCTCACCATTGAAATAACATCATCAAAACTAAATGTTTCACAAGTTGGCTGGTTCTCCATTATGAATTCAGGAGTGTCCACAATCCATTTTTGATGTTATGAAAACATATGTTGAATAACCATTAGGTGGAAAAAGATTTCCTAGAGAGTGGGAAAGAAAGGGGTTCATTCAGTCCTGTCCCTTGCTGCCAGACAGCAGTGTCAAAAATTTATGAACAGATGCTCTGTAGTGTGCCTGGTAGATTAGGTAATTTCAAAACCTCAAAGCTCCAATGGGTGGAACCTTTACATTTCCAGCTGAAGTTTATACATCGGCAGTTTTTAGCCATTTGCTTCTGCATAAATAAAGTGTTATTGTTATTTAAGCTGAAATAACTTTTTCAGCTTTCCTGTATTTTTATTCTAAACTTACGAAGGTGAGCACTTTTAGCCACCAAGACATGCTGGTCTTCCCATTTTTCTGGCCATCCAGTGTGCTTCTCTCCACCCACTCTAACCTCTGTGGATTCTACTTGACTCTGGGTGTCCAGGGCTGTGTACAGTGTTCTGTATGAAGGTCTATCAACACTTTGTACAGAGGCATAGATACCCTTGGATTTCTACTGACCATTATTTTTGTGATTCATCAGAGATTTGCATCTGTCTTTCTCACATCTGTAAAATACTTCTGTGTTTGTCTATGTCACCAGCTGCTTGCTTTCATCATTTCTCATGGTAAGTCCTCAGCTTGAAGCAGATATCCATAGAATGGTTTGGGTTGGAAGGAACCTTTAAAGGTCATCTAGTCCAATTCCCTCTATCATGGATGTCTTCAACGAGATCAGGTTGCTCAGAGTCCTGTCCAATCTGATCTTGAATGTTTCTGGGGATCTGGAACATCTACAAACGGTGTCTCCTCCACCATTCAGCATTATCCGATACTTTCTACTCTTAACTTTTATCCCATTTTTCTTTCTTTGGTTCTTGACTCCATCCAGGTAATGATATTCCTGTCCTGTTATGTGTTGATAATATCTTTGTATTTTCAGTCACCACAATTTTTGGATAGGCTCTTAATTCCTATGCCTCTCTAAATATGATCCCATCCACAGATTGCTCTTGCCTTCTCAGTCAGATGATACGATAATTTTCTTCTTCAACTAATTTTTGGTACTATATTCAAATCAGTGCATTTCCACATTAGATACATGGATTCTACTCTGTTTTCTCTGTTTAAAATATATTTATAAGTGATTGTAGTATGAGCTACCTTTGCTGAGCCTGTGTTGCATTTTTTTCAGTTGTCACTCATCTTAGTTTTTCAGTTAGTTTTATACCGGTTTCTTGAGAGAGTGAAGCTTATGTGGTCACACTGTCCATTTCTCATCCTAATTCTCTTCTCATGGTAACTTATGAACTTACTGTGAAATTTCAAGCAACCTTGACAGAGGACTAGATGCCTGGAAAAAAACAAGTTCCAAAAAACATACTGAAAATAAGTTATGTAAATAACAGGGCCTCTGAACCAAATTAGTGCCTCTACTGAACAGAAGACCTTCCAAGAAAAAGCTTAGAGAGTAGAGAGCTGGTACAAAATGGAGGACAGAACAAAATTCCCAGCTGTGATAAAAGCTTCTTTAATAAGAGCTTGTGCTTTCTTTGATTCTGGAAACTCCAGTCATGGGGAGCAAAGCTGGAGGAGAGGAGTCCTTGTTTTGCCACTTGCCTTATTGGATAACCAGCCGTAAGACTAAGGAATACAACTCTCAAATCTCGGCAGAGTGACTTTGCCCCCATGTGCTTCTGCCTGTAGTTGTGAACAGCACGTGTCCCCCTGGAAGATTCCTGCGTGGGCAGCCAAAAGGTTCTGCAGCTGCCAGTATATATTTTCTGAAGTGATGGATCATATTTTGCCAAGTTAAAAACTGTATCCTGAGAAGGGATAAATCCACAAATTGTTATTTCAAGCACATCTGTGGCTTTTCCCCCTTTTCTGTCTGTCCTTCTCCACTTGCATGTAGCAGAGGCTTTGCTTTGTATCTGAGACTTTGCATCTAATGAAGTAATGCAGAGACTTGGCTTTGTTCAACAGAGCAATGAATTAAACAGTTTCTTGAGTTCCTCGCTGCCCTATTATTGGTGTTTTTGCTGTTGTGATTAAGATGCTGGTAGGGTATGTAGTGGGAAAAAATGGTATTTTATCACTGAGCAGTGCTCTGGTGACTTGCTGGAGATACTGGAACTATTCAGTGGAAAAGTGCTGGTTCTATGGCAAAATTAGTGATTATTTTAAATACAGACACATTATGCTAGACAGCCATGTAAGTTACTTTTTGAGAGGAAATAATAGTTTATTGTCAGCATTTCTGTTAGAAATGTGAACTTCATTATTTAAAAATCTCAGAACCTCCAGCTCATGAGTACTTAATTTAAAAAAAATCAATTTATCTCCCCCTTTGCTTTTCTTTGTGTGAAGACTTCTGAGAAGAAAAGATGAAAGGATGACTTTAGCAATCTGAATATACCTACCCCACGCTGGATGAAAACAATTCTTTTCTGAAATGCAACTTGCCTGTTAAGCTCCTGATTTCAGACTCTCTCTCTCTCTTGCATCATCACATCCTCATGCCATACCTTCAGGATAATAAAAACATGCAGAATCAGGTCCTTATCAAAGTGTATTGTGAATTATTAATCTTCTATTTGCACCCCATTTGGGACTACGGAGTGCTTGGCGCTTGCTAGCAGCATCTAAACAGCTTTATGTGCAGCATCACAGCCTTTTCCAGTGCTTGTGTGTGCCCCAAAGGGTCACTTGTAAGTACACCCAGGCTTCAACCTTGCTCCTTGTCAGGCTGAGGTGGGACTCTGCTCTGGTGACGGGTGCTGCCAAAACTTGCACCTCTGAGCTGCATGGCAGCAGGACCCTGCAGCTGGGAGCTCAGCTGAGGAGTGAAGGTCAAGTAGCCAAAACTGGAAAAATAAAAATGAGTTTGAACAGGACCGTGAGGAACTTGAAAATAGGAACCTGAGAGTCGTGAGGTTTCAGGCACTGAATGTGAAAATATCCCTGTAAAACTGACCTAGCAACAAATGAGAAGCTATATACAAACTCACCTATTTTGGGCACTGTAAAAGAACTTCTGGTTTAAATAAGACATTCAAAAATATTTCCTGTGTGTCATAGAAACTCTTCTTGTAAAGATACTCTGCAGAAGTGTTTTGAAATTATTTTAATAAGAATTAGGACAAAATATGTATAGATTTTGCTTTTAAAGTTTGAATTAATTTTGTACTTGGCTGTTTTAGATGGTTACTATTTATAGTTACAATAGAATGTATGCCTAATCTGGGTATTAATTCCATAGGTTATTTGGGGATTAGCAACACATGGATGTGTGGCTCAAATGGGATCATATTTCCTGATGGACTTTGTAGTGTGCCCATAGTAACAATGAAGCATGAGAGGAGCTGGTTCTTTGGGACCACTGGGTTTTCTTTACACTGTGTGTATTGTCCTTCTTTAGTTCTCTCATTTGAAACTTCTCATATAAAGCTTTTTTTAATTGCAAATATTGGATAATAATGGGATTGAAGTGGTTTGTGTGTGCATTTATGTTTTCACAACTGATTGTACAAATGTGTGTGTGGAGGAATTGTGATGTTTTTCTTTTGTTGTGCAAGGAGATGAAAGTTTGAGATTATTTTTTGCTTTTTGGTTTATTTTTTTTCCTTTTACCTATTTTTTATTGTACAAATGGGAATGCAGTCCAGAACAGTGCTGAGCTTCTAACCAGAACATATTCCCATCTGTAGTCAGTCATTGACTTCAATAGATCTTTGTACTGGACCCTCAGCAAAACCCATAAGAATTCACAGCCTAAGCAGAAAATGAGTTGCTTGGTTTCTTTCATATATAAATACAGTAATGTAGAATTTGCCTTTCTAACCATACAGAAGAAGAATGTTTCAAATTAAACAAACAATCCATTTTCATTAAAACTCTCAGTCTGTCATTTAAATGTAATGAATATGTTTGTGTTTATATTTGGGCCTGATCCTCTCCTCTTTATTTAACTCAGGCAATGTTCTACACAAGTGAGGTCTGACCCACAGATTCTTGAAGTCTGTCAGACTTAGGGGATAGCTTAAACTGCTTCCTCTCAAGGTCCCCTAGGCTGCCAAAGCAAAGCAGCTGAAGAAGAAGGAGAGATGGCAGAGAAGCTGGGACTCCAATTTGCAACACTTTAAACAAAGGGTGCTTTTGCTGTGCTGGCACCTACAGTTGGTTTTCTGCACTGTGATGGAGCTGGTGAAGTCTGACAGAAACCCACATGGGAAATCTAGTGGAGCCTGCCAGATGTGGAGTGTCCAAAATACATTGGACATAGAAGGCATGGACTTGCTGGAGTGCTGACCTGTAGGTCAGAGCTTCCTGCAGGAAGCATCCAGCTCCTGTGCAGGTGCTGAGTAGTTGCTTTTCATATTCTTATGGTGCCTTTCGAATCCTCAATGAACTTTCAAGACCTACACTTGAGAACTTTCACTGCTCCACTGGGTGGCTGAAGCAAAGTGTAGTGCCCGAGGTGCAACATTTTCTTGTTCAAAGTGTCTATGTGTGTTTTTATTGCGTTTTTGTATAAGTCTTAAAAGCTGTTTTTGCTTGTTTTTTGATTTAAGGCAGTCCTCTTCTATCCTGAAGGAAGAAATCCCGGTGAAGGAAGACCATGCCTTTGTTTAGTAAATCGCACAAAAATCCTGCTGAGATTGTGAAAGTTCTGAAAGAAAACATGGCCATATTGGAGAAACAAGAAAAAAAGACAGACAAGGTATGAGGTAATGTTGTAGAAGACCAATAAGGTTTTCATGCTGGGGAACAGTAGAATAATGGGAATAACACTGCATTTGGTCACTGCCCTGCGAGTGCTTGCCTGTGGATGCAGCTGTGTGTTTGAATGGTTCTGCTGAAATCAGGGGGCTTTTGCATAAATAAAATAAATAAAATCTGGGGCTCAGACAGAAAATGCTGAGACCCAGGAGCCTCAGCCAAAACAAAGGCTGATCTCTCACTACTTTAAGCAGTGATCTAGCAAATCTAGCAAAATCTAGCAAAACATCTTGGAAGGCTGTGTGAAAACTATTGTACTGTTAATGGTGTTAGCAGGATAACAAATGAGGTTGCCAATTAATGTGTAGGTACCCACAGAGAAAATCTGTACTTCTGATATACACTGTTTCCAGAAACCAGGAAATCTGTATGTGTCCAGATGTGTATAAAAGAGATCTCACTCTGTTCATCCTTTCTAATGTTCTGGGTGCCAGTGCTTCCTAAAAGAGCTGTGCTACTCATTTTCTATTTATAGAGCTAGGCTTTTCCTAATATTACTGCTCTCTTCTAATTCCATGGCACAGACTCGAGTTACTTTTGCTGCTTTTCCAGTGACCACTTGATAGGCACAACCCAACACGCAAAATCCTCCCAGTTAGGAATTTGAGCTTGCATAATTTAAAAAAAAATTTTTTTTAAATTTTTTACATCTGAAACTCTACCCTCCACACTATTGCTGTGGTAGAAGTATATGGTTTTACTTAACAACAGACTAACTTTTAACTTAAAGTGATTGCCAGTGGAAGCAGAAATAGCTGATAAGAGACACTAATACATTTTCCATGGAGCTGATGTTTGCATGCGTGCATGTTGCGCTTCCCCCACCTTGTGCAGGAAGTTGTATGAAAACAAACCCAACCCAAAAAGTAGCCTTTTACACCCTCGGTGAAATCCTCTTGAAACTTTTTGGTTCAAAGCAAGTAGCTCAGAGTGTGTTAATTACGTAAGGTAAGTCACATGGATTTCTGGGAGGTCTCTGGTATTTGATGTTTCATTCTGAAATACCTTCAGTAACCTGAGAATGGAGAGAATTTGACTCTGAAATACAACATAAAATAAGTAACTAAATAAATCAACAGAATCTGTTCTGCCCTGCTGAATTCATCCTTTGGAGCCTGATTAAAGAAGACTTTCAAAGCAGAAGTTCCATACTTGTATTTCTTTTTGATCTGCTTTGCAAAGTGACTCCTCAGGGTTGTGGTTTTGAGAATTTTTGGCTTTGAGCTGGTTTGTATATTTGGGTGTCAGTGACAAGGAGAAATTCAGACTTCTTAGAAAATTGAGTGCTCAATGTAAATTTTTTGTGGAAGTCAGAACAGCTGGTGTGTGTTTTCCTCACAGAGCAAAAGATACAAAATGTTTCCCTGGCGTGTTAGAATGGAAACAGCTCGTGAACTTAATGGTGCTTATTTTCCAGGAAGGGGCTGATTTTCACTTAATTTTTGTGTACTTCATTGCTATGGGGTAGAGGCTGTTCCTGGGGTGACTGGGGGTGACTGGGGGAGACGAGAGAGGGGGACAAGGCAGTCCCTTCAACAGCAAGGCAGAAGGTGAGGAGAGGCTTTTTTTTTTTTTGATTGGTTTAAGCTTATGTGGCCTGTTGACTCAGGACTTTGTGCTGTGATGTCAAGGAAGCACATAGCGTCCTTTTCCTTGCAGAAGGAAGGGTTTGAGAGTCCTTGGCAGTTCTGCCTTTCATCTGAAGCGTTCCACTGAGCTGTCCTGAAATAAATACCTGTTAAAGAAAATAGCTAAGTTTATTCTCCTGAGTTTATTGAAGTAAATCATAAGGACTATCTTTAGTACTGAGATGGTGATAAACTTTAAAAACGGGCAGGAAAAATAGCTCTTGCAAAACCACCCAGCCCAATCACACCTGCTGCTATCCATTCAGGTTTGTGAACTTAGTAATGCCATTTCTAAGTGTTGTTTGCAGTTTGAGTTGGAGAAGACAATGGGAAAACTTTCAGTGGCCCACAGATTTTCAAAATATACTCAGTAATGCTAATGAGTAATGTCTTTTCATGAGAATGATTGGAGAAATGCAACTGAAAACAAAATCAAAGAGAGGCAAAGCACAGTGCTGTACTCTGTGCTCTTGAAAACCTAGCAAGGTTTTTAACTTTACCTCCAATGTGATTTCTGGAGGGAGAAGAAATTTGTCAAACTGTCATGAAAGGGCCTAAAGGTTTAGCTACTGCAAGAGCCAGAGACCCTGGATGTCTCAGAGATGGGTTTGGACCCTGTAGCCCTGTGACCTGAGAGGTTTGTGGCTCAGGGCTGTCCAATTTTTTCAGATTTCTAGCTCCTAGTCTGCTGTAAGAACTAAAAGAGTGTTGTTATGTCTGACCATAAAACCAATCCAGGGTACAACTCCAGAGCATCCCTGATTTTGCGTGCAAAGTAGTTTCCAACTAGGACTTGCTTCAGATGCTTAAACAGGAAGATTTATCCTGTGACAATTAAGCTGTTACTGTAGTACAGCCAATGTGGTATGTGGGTTGAGACAGCTAAAAGCTGCTAATACAGGCAGAATTGCCAGAGAAGTGGGACAAAGCCTGAATTAACTGCAGGACTGGCAGAGAACCTCCTTTCCTTTCCAGCTGAGAAATCATATGAGGTGAAGATGCCGTGGGCAGACAGGAGGGCACAAGGTCAGACAGAGAGGGGCTTGATGCTTCTAACACAGCTTTGTGCAACTTTCAGCAGGAACCATCTGTGTCTGAGAGGGGATGTTTTAAATAATGCAAAAAGGATCATTCCTGCCAAGCTATGCAGTGCACAGGTAGAGGGAACTTTGCAGAGCAGAGCAGTTAAGACTTCTCAGGTAATGGGAAGAGGGTGGAGGATATAACTTGATAGACAGGATGTAGAGAAGCCAGTTGCAAGTGTAAAGGAAATTCTACATCTTTCCCAAGGCATTTACACATGCACACATCATACACAGAGGTTTGCACTCTTCCTTCATGATGCTTTTTGTTACTCATGCAATAGTACCCATTCAAGCTTTAACTAAACTCTGTTGACTGCACTAGCATCTGTCTCCTTAGATAAGGATTGAATTTGACCCACTTTCTCCACGTGTCTAATTTTTTTTTTTAAACTATTAATGTGTGTTGTGTTGCCATAGTGCTTTCTGATGCTTTTTAAACACACCCAACTGAAAAACAGGCTAAGTGTTGATGTTTGGTTCTTACTTTTTTATGTGGCCTTTCTTGTTTGTTTGCTTGCATGGATATATGCGTGCTTAAAGCTTTGCCTTTTTCTCAGCTACATTCTGATGGTTGATAGACAACAGGTTGAGAAGTGCCAGCACATCTGGCTCCTTTTCTTCTGAAGTGCTCTTTCTAAAACCTTGTTTTTACAAATTTTTAAAAATAATATTTGTTTTAAAGAAGGGATTGCAGGACTGGCAAATTTTTAATACAATAATTGGGAGATTAAGTAGAGTAAGACAGAGCTGAAAAAGTGGACTAAAATGTTCTTTATCAACAATCCTCCTCTCTTCCAATATCTGAAATAAAATAAGGTGTTCTTGGAGCATATACAATTGCTGACATCCTGTTTGGGCTTTGATGTGGTGAAGAACAATTAATTAAGTTTTATTGCAGTATTATATAAATGTCATTACAATTTAATCTCAGTTATGTAGAACCAATCAGTCCTTGAATTTAATGAGAAATGCCCACTCTGGAACTACCTAGAAAAGCAGGAAAGTATTTAAATACATAGTAAAAGAAAGCCTTCAGAGCTTAGGCTCTCTTCCTTCTTTGTGGCACAAACTCCTATAGCATTTGGAGGATGCATGTGAGTAAGGATGAAGAGAAGAGAAGCCATGATACCAAAAGGTCATACCTGTTGAACCTGAGGAAGAATGGACAGCGTGTGACACTCTGGTCACACTGCTTCATTTATTGCTGGTGTGTCACCGTGTCTTTGTTGATGGCTATTGTAAAGGAGCTTTGATAGAAAGGGTGCCTGACCGACCTCACAAAAAAAGAGGTGTGGCATCCTGGCTTCTCAAAGCCTTGTGTTCAGGTACTGAGCCTGAGCACAAAGCACAAAGCAGTGCGGGTGGCATCCAGTTTGTCCCTGAAGGACGTCCTTGAGCACATCACCCTCCCGCTGCTAACCAAACACCTTCGGGTGCGGCACTGACTCAGTGCCATCTGTGGTGCCTACAGGTTTGGTAACATTTTCTGAACCTGCCCTGCAGCAAAAGCCTTCCAAGTGTCACAGGCTTTTAATTTAGTGCAGCAAACGGATCTGAGGTTGGTTGAAACTTGGTCTACTCTTTGCATGTGGTCTAGATGGGCTGAAAGATTTGCAGTTTCTGGTATAGCTGATCCAAGACAAGGGTTTCTTGTGGAAAATGAACCTAAATGCATTAGAGCAGGTTCAGAGCACTGTGCTGAGTGCTTTCCTGCCAGGCAGAACTGCAGGCTGCAGTGCCTTTAGTCAGTGTTCAGAAGCACAGTGAAGTGAGATGTAAAAATAACCTGAAGTGTCACGCTTCTGCCTCTTTCACTTAAATCTCTCTAACAAGACTGCTCCTTCAGGTAGGTCACTGCAATCTGTCCTCCCTTTCATCTCCACTTGCTGTAACAAATTTGGTGCAGTTCAGAAGGGTCAGGAGAGCAGCGTTTTATTAAGGCTACAATTAAAAGACATCAAGATATCTGGAACAAATACTTCTATCAATAAATCCTGCTTTTTTACATAGCAACAAGGAAGCCATTCCTGGCTGCTGTTCACCTTGCTGGCTGCTGCATTGGTAAAGCTCTGGGGACTGGTGTGTGAGATGAGGTGCATGTGGAGAGCTCTGTGTGCATTTGCATGGAAGAACAGTTGCGTGACTGCCGGGAATGAGAATATCCATGGATGCGATTCTGCAGCTGCCAGAGCCGGTTGCAAAATTGCTTTCCATTTCATTGCTGCACA